GAGTTCAAGAAGCTCATGGGCATGGAGAACATGAAGTCGCACGACCTCATGCTCCTCGAGTCGATCCAGAGCGGCGCCAACCCGATCAAGCTCCCGCTCGACAAGTGGACGGCGATCAACGAGCAGACATACCACTGCCGCGGCGACGTCAAGGTCACTGAATAGTTTTCACTAGTTTACGTACACTCGCCAAAATATGCCGTCCTATCAACATTATCACTTTGATTTGGGTTTCGAGCTGACTACCATTGGTTCGAAAGACGAGTCGGTGTGCTGCGTCGGTGGCGAGCATACACATGTACTAGTAGTCGATAAGTCCGTCCTCTGCTCGTCGAACTGGCATAAAGCCGATGGTTCTTTCGGCTTCTGGTTCGAACGACCGAGTACTTTGTGCAGAGTCAGTATCTGGTGCGTACTTTGACGAGGATCTGAATGGAGCCGCGGCGCTCGAAGGCCCGGCTGATGCACACCAGGCGGCATCTGGCGCCGAGTACGTGCCCTCGCAGCTCTCGCTTTGGATTCTTGTACAATATTGTACTCACGATTGCGATGTACGAGTGCACATCTTGATGCAATGTCAAGACAGATTGGCAACGTGCACACGAGGAAGGTGGTTGATGGTCGAAGGTCGGCGCAAAGTGGATCCGGAAATATATGAGGACGTGTATGAACTTGAGTTGCTGCACTTCCTCAATCAAGACCGAACTACTTGGGGGCAACAACCGTGTTGGTGTCCGCCGTGCCAGTGGTGGGCGAGGTGGGTTAGCTATTTGACTACCAATTTGGAAATGGCTTGAGCTCGCTTGCTCTGCGCCTGGATCTTGGATCTTGTGTTTGCTTTTGGATCTTGGTCTTCTAGATCGCTCGGACTTGCTCGGAAAACCTCTTCCACTGCTTGGAAACGGCCCGTGCGCCCCCTGAGACGCAGCAAGGAGTCTGTCAATAGGAAAACTTCGTAGCATTGCGGATCATAAACTGCATCGTTGTCCATGGAGCGGTGACTGGCGGGCGAATGATTATTTGTGGTATGTGCCACAATTAACCATGAATTGCCATAAATAGCCACGTTTGGCGCACCACGGCGAGCGCGCGTCGCGCGATCGGCCAAATCACGTCGGAAAATGAAATCGCTCATACTTACCAAAGTGATAAAAGACACTTTGGAGAGTACGAAATGCTATGTGGCGTCGCCATGCGAGCTTTTTAGCGCGAGAAAATGACGAACTGCGTCGTTGTTTGATCTTTGCATTCAAGTTGCTCAAGGAATCAATACTTAGGTCGCGGCGCGTGGTGCTCTATACGATGTAGTGTTCAGCCCGTCGTAGAACGCATCGCCCTCTCTGTGCGAAATCAACATTATACAGAGATGAAAACATAATTAAACAGATACCTCGCGAGGACCCGCGCCCAAGGGTAGACTCTCCAAGCAGGTAGTGAGCTTTACTTGATCGTGTTGGTGTGTCGTCCTGTGGCGCTGTCGACACTTCAAGCGATGGTTTAACAACAGCCAGAGCATTGTTGAGTCATTGTTTGGCACCGTTCGTGACATGCAACAGCACAAATTCGTGGTTTACATGGAATGTCTATCACCAACATCTTAGCAGATGTTTATCGTTGTGGATACACAAACAAGGGACTAAAATGTTGCTACAAAATGAGAGTAGTTTTCGTTGCTGAACGACGGCCGCTCACGACAGCAAGGTGGCAATGAATCGTTTTCGTCTCATGGAGGCTCTTGCCAAGCGTTGTGCGAAGCTACTACTAGTACGCAATTGCATTTTCCTGCCATTTCCACACGTTGCAGTCTTGTCCTTGAGACAGAACAAGTCATGTTTTTGACCGGCTGTGCGATGCAATGTTAGAGGCGACGTCCAAAAGTCCAAACAAATCTGTCTTCACATTACAGTCGAAGCTGTCTAATTGCATATCCCGAAACTCGATATTCCTCTCCAGTGTGATACCGTCCGACCTTGATTTTTTACAGCTCAAAACGTAATAAAATAAATTTGATTCACGCAGCCAACCATTTGATCCGCAAAGCAACCCGCCGAATGACCAAGAAGCCGCCACACGCAGATCCTACCCAGTACCAAGCGCGCCGTGTCCAACCCAGTTACGGAGATGGACGAGCTTGGCGCAGCAATGAAGATGCTCGCTGTCGGAGCTCGTGCAAGAGGTTTTGTCTTCGACGTGCCCTCAGCTGCAGAGTACGTTGACTCTGGCGAAACGGACGACTTGACGCTCTTGGGGTACCTCACAATCGACCAGATTTGCGACTTCGTGAGCTACGTCGACGAGGATGATGAGGTCGTTTAGATATTCAACTCCGCTCTTGAATGCGACCAGTTTTGATCATCACAAAAAAAATATTATTCATGGGCTTTATATTTCTTACCTTGCACAATTAATATACCTCTCAGATGTATAAATTATCCACTATGCAATTAGACAGCTTCGACTGTACATACTTTTAGTTGCGCGGGGTTGTCTCTCGATTCATCGTGCGGTAGACGTTTGCACAGGTGGTGGGTGCATGAAGCGGATACACGTACGTCT